TTATAATATAAGATACTAAAATAATTTTACCCCTTAGAAATAACTAGAGATTTTTGTGGATTCTTATTTCTTAGCAATAACTCGAGATTTTGTGGGATTTGGACGGCCATAGTCATTCCACGATTTTTTTGTAGAGAATTAGAAAAACGACAAATCTTGCTTTTTTTTATTATTATTTTTTCATTTTAGGAGCAACATGATATGATATGTGGTCCGTTATTCGTACCGGGGCCTGTATATAATTTAAAGCAACATCGACGTGAAGCACATCCTTTTGGGTACCGAAAAAGACTTTTAAGCCCATGATAAAAGATTAGTGAAAATATCACAGTAGAGAACGAGAAAAAAAGTTTTTAACATAATTGACCTCCAAACTTGTCACGATTTAATAATATATTTTTAAAATTTTTAATTTTAACAATTAACTCTCAAATTTATAAAATTATTGTAATGTGTTATTTATTGATAATCAGTTAGGTGCTTTTTATTTCTCTTTATTTTATGAATAAGATACATGTCTACTTAAATTTAAATTTAAATTTATATATTCTTCGATCTTTACGTAGTTTTGTATTTTATTTTTGCGCTCTTTTTTATGAAAATAATTTCTGAAAGTCAAATCTTGACAAAATTGACATTGATAATAATTAAGGTCGGTTTAGTTCACTGATATAAGTGTTTAATTCGAGTTGAGATGTGATTTTATGTGAGCACTTTTTACTGTAGTAAAAAAGTTAGATGTGACTGTTTTTTAGAATTTTTTTACTATAACAAAACTCGGATCGGTGAAATGAACGAGACCTTAATATATTAACTAGAAGAGTTGTAAGGCAATCGAAGGCCAAAATATTATTTCTTGTGCAATTCGATTTTATCTCTCTTGTTGAGTCATATGTAGAATAAGTGGAAAAGATGCACGATGAAAAATTTAGTCGATTTGATGGTTTCAAATTGGTAATTATTGTTGTTGGTTTTTTGTTTCCCCCTCTTATATTGAACAGAATGTGAAGAAAAAACAGAAATCAAGAAAGAACAAAAGAGAAAATAAAGAAGGAAAAAATGGTGAAGAACGAGAATATATGGTCAGAAACAAAAACAAAAGGGTTAAAAAAAAAAAGAAAAAAACAACAAAGGGTGTTATTATATAGAACAATACATTATAACATTATAGCTTAGCCGGGATATTAAAAAATTCAATACTGAAAAGGGTGTGAAAAGGGTGTGAAAGTACGCATAGACCCCAACAGGATCTAGCAAGAGATACAAATGCTTTTAAATGGCTCATAATCGCAACACGTAAACCTTAAAATTTTTCATTAATCACAACTTAATCTTGATTAGATTGGAGATTACAACAATTATATGTGTGTGTGCGTGTGTATATATATATATATATATATATATATATATATGTATGTATATACACATAATGGGAGTAAGGGAAATTAAAGTAACTGTTTTTTTTTTGGCTAGAACAATAACTGTCCTTTTCATTTGAAAACAAAATATATGCCGAATGAATGCAACTTAACGACTGTTGTTTTTGTGGCTACATCTCTTGACGGATCAATGTAACGGCAAAAGTGACCCATTCCATTATAAATGGTCCTTGTACGTACGTACTCACTCTTCACAAGGGCTGGGGGGCCTAAAAGACAACGTAACATGAATTTGAGCCACTTGTTCCAAAAAATTTGGTCCCTATTTTTATCATGCCATTTTAATATCTAGACTTACTAATTAATCAACGTCCCATGTGACATTATAATATTCCGTTCCCTATGATAAGATAACTTGAACTAATATGATTACTTAGTACTGTTTGTTTTGTGGGTTAAGTAAAGAGTTTTCGAGTGTTTAGATTACCACCCTATATGTGTCTTTCAGTGGTGTAATGTGACTGCAATATGGACACCTCTTAATGTGGTGAATCCATGTAACAATATTCTCCTTCTATTGCAAAGAAAATTACCCAGCAAAGGTTTGTTAATTTTCCTAGAAGACAAACGGGGTAAACGTTTTGTTTTGAGCTCATCATAGAGTTGCATTACAAAAGTGATAATTAATTGCTAGGCAAGATTATTGGCTGTCGGGTCATATACTCTTTTTGTCATTTTATTTATCATTTTTTTATTTATTATTTAACACACAAATTTTATTTTTTTATTTTTTATTTAAATAATAATTTATTATGTTAATAAATTTTACGTGTTAAATAGTAAATATATAAAATAAAAAAAATGATAAAAGGCCTGACCAGCATTTCTCATATATAATTAAATCAGTTATTGTATAAGAGCCATGCATTGCTCTTTTGTCTTCACAGGCCCACATATTTAATTGGGTCACGTTTATTTTATCGATTCGAGTTTTTAATTTTAAATTTTTATAGTAAAAAATTTTTAAAAAATGTCACATTTAACTTTTTTTGTTACAGTAAAAAACTCTAAAAAAATATCACATCTCAACTCAAATTAAAAACTCGAATCCATAGAGTAAATGAAGCCTATATAGTACAAATCTCCTCCAGGTCTTAATCAAATTGAACTAATTATTACTGGCCTTTTATATTTTATTTTATCTTTTTACCAATAGTTAGGAAATCAAAGCCGCAAAGATGTACTATCAAGCTAGACCATGTAACTCTGACTAATGATTAAAGAAGTCCAAATTTAGCTAAGCTAAAAGCTCATTAATCCACTTAACACAGTACATGGACTATTTGAAGAGAAAAAATTTCTTAAATGCTCTAACCATTAATTTTTTATATATGTTATCATTTTCTTTAAATTTTTAACCAAAAAAAAAACGAGGATTTTAATGACAACATATTAAAAAGGATAGAATTGGATGAAGGTTTATACTAATGTGTTCCATTCAAACCTTTTAGGTTCTAGAAGGACAAAATTATTATACATGCAAAAGTAATTACACTAGTACTAGAATGGTTTTTGATATCGTGGGCCCACTTATATAGTAAGATAAGTATGGCTACATTCAAGTCGATCTTTAGTAAGGCTGCGTTCATTTTACCGATTCAAATTTAGAATTTGAGTTTTGTTACAGTAAAAAATTTTCAGAAACAGTCACATCTAATTTTTTTTACTACAATAAAAAACTATCACATAAAATCACATCTCAACTCGAATTACAAACTCGAATCAGCGAACTAAATGGACCACAAATGTAGCTTCTACCCCAATGTTATGTCTATTTGTAGTGAATTGACTACACGATTTCATTACCTACAAAAGACATATCTCCCATGGATGACAAGGTATTTCCTGGTCCTGACTTGGAAGTCGCTCCCTAACTCACCTAAGTGTAGGAGAGGGCTAAAAGGGCTCGACTTAGGGGTGGTAATTCGTGTTTGTCGTGTTGACCCTTTCAGTTAACACGGTAAGAGCTGACACGAATACGACTCATTTATTATTCATGTTAAAATACAAAACTCAAACACGACATGTATATTGACGAGTTGACACAACATGACTAATCTGTTTATTAAACAGGTAATAATAGTACCGTGTCAACCTATTTCTAATAATTTGTTTATAAAATGAGTGATAATAAGGTCGTGTCAACCTTTTTCTCAACATGTTTTTCTTTAAAAAAATATATTTGTAACATAAAAAACAAACGAGTTGTAATTGTGTTGTGTATTTGTATTACTCAAATATGACACGTTTAATAAACGGATTACGGCTAGTCAATTGCGGGTTAAAGAGTCAACCTGAAAACGACACGCTATTTAATCGTGTTTTGCAAGTTCAACCTGATTTTGACCAAAACCTATTTATGATAACCCAAACCCGTTAACTTCGTGCGGGTTTCGAGTCGTATCATCGTGTTGCTATCCGAATTGTCAGTCCTAGCTCAACTGAAATGAGAGGAAAGGAGAAATGTATAGTTTCTTCTTTCCCTGCACTTAAAGTATGAGTTAGCTGCTCTCACTTGCTATACATGTGTTGAGCTAGAAAGCATGGGGCTCATTTCTATTGGACTTCTCTGGGATAGCAGGGTTCGCTTTCATCTTTACAGAGAATCTCTCAGTATGCTAAATAGTGAAATCTCTCATTACATAGAGAATGTGCATCCCGTTATGGCATTAAATCAATAAGAGCTTGTTTGGTTAATGGATTTAAATTAAGTGATTTGAATCATAATTTAAATTTGAAAAATTTTTGTGAGAAAAAATACTGTAATAGAACTTTGAATCTCCGATAAGGGCCAAGAGAGTTAAGGGTCCATTTAGTTCGTTGATTCGAGTTTTTAATTATAGTTGAGATGTGACTTTATGTGAGAATTTTTTACTGTAATAAAAAGTTAGATGTGACTGTTTCTAAAATTTTTTTTACTGTAACAAAATTTGATTTCTAAACTCAAATCGGTGAAATAAATGGGGCTTAAATTAAAGCACATGAATTAGCCAGAACCGGAGCAGCAAATAGTCAATAACAGCACATGAGGAAACATGGGCAGTAAACAAACTAAAAGTAGGACAAGAAGAGTGCCTTTAAACCACAACTAACTAGTCACACAGGGTTCCATTGGAACGTAACACAGAAAGTTTAAGTTAAAAAAAAAAAAGAAAACGGGAGAGATACTATTTATCAGATTATCGCGGTTACCTTTTCAATTAATTTAATTCACGCACGTATTAACTTTAGAGCTCACACGATCTTACATGTCAATATTTAAATGGTTAAAACTAGTGACGACGAGTCAAAATGTATTTTTCAAAATAATTGAGAATTGGACACTTCAGCAGAGGAGGAAAGGGCGAAAAAAAAGAAAAAAAAAAAAAAAGAAAGGAAAAGGAGAAAGAAAATAAAATAAAAAGACTAGCTTTTTTACAAATTGGAGGGAAATCGCTAGCTGTCAAAGCCTCAAATTAGCTGGTTGGTTTTGGACCTTAATTTGGTCCCCTATACCCATCGCCCACAATGTTTGTCCCCTCATATTGACAGAGAAATCTCCCTCCTTCTCTGTCTCTCTCTCTCAAGATGATAAACCCCATGTCTTGTGGTCTATAAACTATCGTACTGTTGTATGATAGACTTTCTGCTTTGTGGAGCTTTTTCAGCATGGAACAAGGCCTACATAGATCACCATAGTAAAGCTCCTCTGTTTTCCACTGTATGCCACACAGAAAAGAGAGAGAGAGAGAGAGATATCTAGAGCAAGATCCCCCACTTACACAAAAAAAACATTATTGCTTTGCACCACTTTGTGATACACAACACTCTCCGCAAGCACCAACCAGAGAAGAAAACAAAAAATTTGTGTTTTGAATGGAATCGGCAGTATCAGCAGCCGAGACAAAACAGCAGCAGCAGCAGCACAGCAACGGCAGCAGCTACAATGATCAAAACGACATCGTCGGCTGGTTCGAGAGAGTGTCGGAGAACGCCGGTCCCGTCCAGACCGAGACGCTCCGCCGGATACTGGAGCTGAATTGTGGCGTTGAGTACCTCAAGAAATGGTTGGGGGACATTCAAGTCCAAGAAACGGAGGCGTGTGTATTGGAGTCACTTTACACAAGTTTAGTACCTCTTTCAACACATGCAGATATAGAGCCATTGGTACAGAGAATTGCAGATGGGGACACAGGTCCTATACTCACTCACCAACCTATCACTACTCTGTCTCTAAGGTAAAGGTACTTAGCTTCACTATTTATTTTTTTATTTACTATTCTTTTTTATTTCTTATTTGTTCTGTTGTGATCTTATTTCATTGTGCTAAAAAAAAAAAAAGAGTAGTCTTTTAGAGGTACCCTGCTATTTGAAAACATGGGGCACAGAAAGTTTTATTCATTTTTTACACCAAATGCATGAAAAGATTACTTTGCTGCTTCTTTTAGCCTTTTCTTTTATTTTTTTATAGTTAGTCTCATGAACTTTTTTTGCTGTCTTATTACAATATTGATCAGAAAGGGAAAAAGGAACCCCTTTTTTTTAGTGTTTTTTTTTTTTTTTGCTTAACATGTTTGATAATGATAAGTTTGTTATGATTTTTTTGGTCTTTTTTTTTTTTTTTTTTTGCTTAACATGTTTGATCAGTCTGATATGATTTTATTGGTCATCCTTTTTTTTTTTTTTTGTTTCCTTTCATTTGAAAATATAGCTCCGGAACCACAGAAGGAAGACAGAAATATGTACCATTTACTCGGCACAGCGCTCAAACAACGCTCCAAATTTTTAGGTTGGCAGCAGCCTATAGATCAAGGTTCAAACTTTTCTTTTTAAAAAAATATATATATATATTTATATATATATATATATATATTCTTGCCTCTTGATGAATCAATTATAACAAATTAATTGATTCACTACAAAGGATAATTGCTAGTTAGTAAAAATAATTTCCATGTTTTATGAACAGGGCTTATCCAACAAGAGAAGGAGGGAGAATCCTGGAGTTTATATACAGCAGCAAGCAGTTCAAAACCAAGGGGGATATATCAGTAGGAACGGCCACAACCCACTATTACAACAGTCAAGAATTCAAAATCAAACAAGAAAAGACCAAGTCATTCACTTGTAGCCCACAAGAAGTCATCTCTAGTGGAGACTACAAACAGTCAACATATTGCCATCTCCTACTTGGCCTCTTCTTCTCCGACCAAGTAGAGTTCATAACCTCCACTTTTGCCTACAGCATAGTCCAGGCATTTTCCGCCTTCGAAGAGCTATGGCAAGACTTGTGCACCGACATAAGGGAAGGCTCTTTGAGCACAAGAATCAGCTTGCCAAAGGTGAGAAAAGCAGTCTCGGATATCATCTCCCCAAACCCGAGTTTGGCATCGAAAATCGAAGAGAATTGCAACGAGTTAAGGGGTTTGGATTGGTGTGGTCTTATTCCTAAGCTTTGGCCAAACGCCAAGTATGTCTACTCTATAATGACAGGCTCAATGCAGCCTTACTTGAAGAAGCTTAGGCATTATGCTATGGATTTGCCATTAGTCAGCGCCGATTATGGATCGACGGAGAGCTGGATCGGGGCTAATTTGGACCCTTGTTTGCCTCCGGAGCGCGTCACTTTCGCAGTGATTCCAACTTTTTCCTACTTTGAATTTATACCACTCTTTAGAAGGCGGCAAAATTGTGCTTCAGTTAGTGATGACTTCATAGAAGATGAGCCAATCCCACTCTCCCAAGTCAAGATTGGACAAGAGTATGAGATTGTCCTCACCACTTTTACAGGTATGTTATTGTACAATATGCGGGGTTGGCTCCATAATTTTCTAACCTTGCTTTTTTGGTAATTTCCTTTTTCTTTTTGACACGCATATGTACTTACTTGACCACTTGAAAGCTTGAATTAATGCACAAATCTAGAAGTTTTTTACTCGAGCAAATGATACCCACCTATAGAAAGAACAGTAGACTTGATATGTCTGCGGACCTTTCTCTGCTATATCATTTCATAGTAAAATATGACTCATGATAAAACCCAAAACAAAAGTGGAAAAGTGAGAAATAAGAAGAAGAAGAAGAAGAAGAAGAAGCAACTAAATGGGATCGATTTGAACCATTGACAAATTTGTTTGCAGGTCTAGGGACCTCTTTGCTAATACCCTTTTCATGATACATGACCCACTAGCTTAATTTTTTTAAAGTGTTTTTGGGGGGCTGGAGGCATATCGAAAATAGCGCACACATATAATTGAAATCATTACAATTTAACCACGTTTGTTACTGTTCCTTTGTCAGGCGACTGCTACTTTTGCTAGAATTTGTATTTTCACGTGTAATGTCTGTCCTTTTTTTTTTTTGGCTCTTTTTTGACTTATTTACTAACAACAAAATTATGGTTAACCATGATACGCCGAAATTCGTGTTCCAGGGCTTTACAGGTACAGATTAGGGGACGTAGTGGAAGTGGCCGGTTTCCATAATGGGACACCAAAACTGAACTTCATGTGCAGGAGAAAACTAATACTAACTATAAATATCGACAAGAACACGGAGAAAGACCTCCAGATGGTGGTGGAGAGAGGCTCCGAGCTGCTGATGAGGAAGGCCAAAGCGGAGCTCGTCGATTTCACGAGCCACGCCGACGTCGCGCACCAACCGGGGCACTACGTGATCTTCTGGGAGATCAAAGGAGAAGTTGAAGAAAGAGTTTTGAAGGATTGTTGCACAGAAATGGACGCCTCTTTTGTTGACCATGGATATGTGGTATCTAGGAGAACCAACTCAATAGGTCCTCTAGAGTTAAGGATTGTGGAAAGAGGGACTTTTAAGAAAATTTTGGATTATTTTATAGGAAATGGGGCTGCTTTGAGCCAGTTCAAGATCCCTAGGTGCACTAGTAACCAGGTCATTTTGAGAATTCTTAATGCCTGCACTATTAAAAGGTTTTACAGCACAACTTATGATTAGAAAAGCAAGAATTAATAATAATAACGATAGTAATATAGTGTTTGTATTTTTCAAACACACAATTAGCTAGCTAGGAAAATTTAAGTTTGATTCTCATGTAACGTCCAATAAAACCATCCAAGTTTCTTAATATGGAGTTGTGAAACTGTGATGCACGTTTGGTTTAGGTTTTACGTACCTTGAATAACATGGAATTAAATGTTTGCTGAGTTTTTTCTTCAAATAATAAAAACACGATTTCATTCAACCAAACAATAAGAGTAAAAATAAAAAAAAAGGAGTAAATAGCAAGTCAAATTTCCATTCAAGTGAACAACGAAGTGAACTATATATTATACATATTTTACTAAAACAGTACTCTCCATCACTAATTTGGCTTATGAGAGTGACTGATTTTCTAGATAGACGTTTCAAAATCTGTTCTTCAGAAGCTTCATATCTGAATTAATAAAAAAATAAAAAAAACAGTCAAAACCAAACAAAAACTGCAGAATGATCTGTAGATCAAATCAAAGTGGACATCCACTCTACGAGAAACCCTAAAGGATAATGGGAAGGAAAAAGAGAAAAAAAGAAAATCAACCGGAGAGAGATTATAAGAAACCGAAAAAGTATCCATTAAAAAAAAGCGGAAAAGTAAAGAAGAAAATGATGAGAAAGATAGAGAGAAAAATGAACGGTCTAGAGTTGATTCTGGAAAAAATGTGAACATACGGTCGCTGAGTAATTAGTTATAAATACAACAAAGATTGCAAGTTTCAAGAGAAATAAAACGCATAAAATGACACCCACTTATGAACTAATGGAATTGCGGAGCGATTTTTCATTTATTCATTTGTTTTTCTTTTTCTTTTTGAAGGAAGTTTTGCTGTGATTGATCTCTAGAAGTGAAGATTCTCCAAATTTAATGGCAATTTGACATGATTAACAAGAACTTTTTCAGCACATTTACATTGTTTTCTGAAAACTATTTTCCTTTCGAAAAATGACATCGTGTTTGAAGAAAATCATTGGTCGAAGTAAGACAACCACAAAAAGGGCGTATACAGGTGGATAAATTTCTTATATCATCAAAAATTTCTGTCGTGGTTACAATGATCATATAATTTCTTTCTTCGGATCGCCTATTAAGTACATGCCACCCACGAAAAATTGTCGTATTACATTGAAAGGATCGTTCCAAAGGATTCATCAGGTTTACAGTCAATTCTATTTTACTCTTTAATTTTAATTTAAAATGTCTAACAATTGATTCTTAAATATTTCAGTTTCGGTCATTCCGTTAGTTAATTGTGTTAAATATTTAACAGAATAATACAAAAGTTACAAAAAAAAATAAAGTTAATTAATTTCCAACTAGTCTTTAAATTTTAGTTGTTTCAATTTTAGTCTTTAATTTACACTAATTTTGCTAAATATTTAACACACATTTAAATGAAAAATCGCAACTGAAATAGAATAAAACTTTATTGACTAAAACATTTTAAAAGTCAAGGATTAACCATTTATAGATTAACCCCGTATGAAAATGTTTCTTATCAACAACTTACTCTATACTACGCTGTTTTTTATTATTTTTTTCTCATGAGACTTGCTTAAGGAAGGATCGTTCCAATCTTATTTGTCAATAATTCAGAAAGAACAAAGACAACATATAATTCAAATATTAATTAATAAGCGTTAATCGTTCTTGCACACTTATTTTTATTTTTGTTTGTTTTTATTATTATTATTATTTTAAGATGCATGGGTTATGATCTTTTCCCTCTTAAGTAGCTGTTTCCATTAGTTTTACGATAAAAGAGCCTTTACCAGCCTAACTATCTTTACATAAATTTTAATCATCAATTTATGAGACAACGATATAATAAGGTTTTGTAATTTTGAAAACTGAAACATCGCATCCAGACGGAGTATTCTAATTAAAAATCACTCCTGATGACTGGTGAGAAGCCCCTGCATGTTCTGGAATTCAAGAAAGTAAGACAAGAAAGCAACAAGAGTCAGATAATTTTCTCTTTTTTTTCTTTTCTTAAAAAAAAAAAAAGGAAGAAGAAGAAGAAGAGAAATTCTACACCATTGCTTTAAAATAAAAACCAAACCCCATAAAAAAAAAATGAAATTAATAAAACCAAACCGACCACCCCGTGAACTGTGCTGTTCCCGTTCCCAAATAATTGAAACGAGAGTTTATTGCAGCGAATAGGCTGGATCCAAGCTGGCAAAAGAGTTGCTAACTAGTATGGTTAATTTGACTTTTATTTTTGAGTGACCAATTATTTGGGATCAAAAAACAGTAAAAAGAAAAGTTGAAAATATTGACTTGCCAATCCGGCGTACTTTATAAACTGTTAAAAGGCTTAAAGCAATAAAATCCCGCAGGGGAAAATCACCAAATAATTGATCAGCCTGACATCTGTAAATTGGGTCCAACACTTTGAAACCAAAATTTTGGAATCTTCGTCCACGCCAAAGAAGAAATAAACGATCATCTTTGACGTCATAGCAGTGATTATGACTTATGTCACTGGGACACTATTTCCTATACACACAAACATATATACATATGTATATATATTATCTATTAATTACCTCTGTTTCTTGTGATACATATATCGATCACAGCAGTTACAATGGTCAAATTAAACTTAATTTATTAACTTTACTGCTTTATGAGAAGGCTATAGAATTTAAAAAAAAAAAAAAAATTGGAGAAGTGTGCAAAATTATAATGTACAATTAAATTATGAAAGACCACCTTGTGCACCCATGCATGAGATGGTTCTTTTGAATCTTTTTAAGTACATACACACGCCAATATTAATTTACTGCATAAGTGATACATCCATAAGATTTTATTTTAATGGGGTTTTATAAAAAAGTATTATTAGTTTACCAATTCATCTCAAAAACAAGTATGAAGAGAAGCAAAAGAGAACAGCAATAAAAGTTTATAGGGGTTTACTTTTGTGTTTCTTTTTACTTCAAAAATAATATTTGATTCCGATAATACATAAATTATATTCTGCCATTTAAGCCTCAAGGCTTTGACAAATTAAGGCCTAAACACCCAGTGACTGATGATCAAGAAGTTTATTTTAGTAGGAGCATATAATTATTAACCAAAAAAAAAAGTTCGTGTTAAATTACACTGAACAATGATAAAAACTGTTTCATTACCTAGAAATTTTACCAGAACTAGAAACTTTCGTCAAGTTTATGGCCATGCATACATTCTCATGCATCTTTTGATAACGAAATGTTGATGTTGTAACAACGGGACGTGATTAATATATATACATATATCATGTTTCCAGGACTTTACAGGTACGGACTAGGGGATATAGTGGAGGCGGCTGGTTTCCATAATGGGACACCAAAACTGAAATTCATATGCAGGAGAAAGCTACTACGCTAAGTGTAACTGTCGATAAGGCCACGCAGAATGACCTTCAGATAGTGGTGGAGAGAGGCACTGAGTTGCTGATCAGCAAGGCCAAACCAATGCTTAGCTCGTCGAATTTACCCGCCGCGCCGACGTGGCGACCGACGCGGGGCACTACATAATCTACTGGGAGATCAAAAGAGAAGCCGATGAGAGAGTTCTGCAGGAATGTTGCCCAGAAATGGATACCTCGTTCGTGGACGTGGCCTATATTGCTCACAGAAAATGCAATTCAGTTGGTCCCTTAGCCAAGAATTGTGGAGACAGGGACTTTTATGAAAATTTTGAACTATTTCATGGAAAATGGAGGCGCGATTGGCCAATTCAAGACCCCACGGTGCACCAACCACCAGGTTATTTTGGGACCTCCTCAACTATATGCTACCATTAAGAGGTTTCACAGCAGAGCTTATAATTATAAAGACTAACTAAAGGTGAGAAAGTAGAGACGATATGTGTGTTGGCGCATAATATCATTAAACTTGAATCAATTTGCATGTGTGTTTTTTTTTATTTTCGTTCTTATTTTGTTCATGGTAACAAGACTATGATATTGTCATTATTATTATGTGTATTTTTTTTTCCTTCTTTTACGTGTAATAATATAGATTGTACTCTGAAAATCTGCAATTAGTTTGGAACTTTAATGGTTTTTTTTTTTTTTTTCCTTTCTCTCCATTTCTTTCTAGAAAATTCAAGAGGAAGATCCATAAAATTATATTTATCTGGCACCATCCAATATATTGTTTGTAAATGAAAGTCAAAGTTTTACACATTCTGAAAAGCTGCCATAATTTGTACATTGATTTGTGTTTGAGCAATCAATTTACCTTCGTTACACTGAGAATGAAGCTTGAGATATATTATTTCTGCTTAACGTAGAGCTCGGAGAAATTAAGATTCAATCTTACACAAAAGCACACACTTCTACCCCGGAGGAGTCCTTGTGTGGATAAAACCCTTGCCATTCGCTTGGTATCCCAAGGTGGACAATTGACACCCGATTATTCTGAAAAATAAGAGGTTATGTCGTCTCCCATCCGGTGACCTCCAGTATGCCTATTGACATCGCCCATTCAGTAATTTAAAATATAAGATTTAAAGTTATTTTAGGATTAAGAATTGTTTTAGAGTTATTTTATTTCATTCTATTAGGATTAATTAGGATTTTATTCGAGTTCGAGTTTGATTCTTATTAAGATTTTTGTATACAGCCATAAATAGAGTTAGTGTTTTTATTTTTCACTTCATCCCAGAGGCGCTAGTGCCAAATTTTACATTAAGTATTTAAACCAATAGCAATTAAATATTAAATTTTAACATATGTTATACTTAGTGTCAAATTAAAAGGTATAAAACTAAAACATTGGGATAGAGGCTTGACACAGCACTATAAATGTTCTAAGAGTGTCTTGAATCTGGTGCCAAATTAGTATGTCAATACTAAATTTTAGCAATTGAGAAGAAACAATTCTTTAATAAGTGTTATTTTTAGTGCTAAATTTTGCATTTGCTATACTCACATTTAGCACTGAGTATATCATATGTCAGATTTTGACATTTGATTTTTGTTTATCATTTAATTGCTATTGGTTGATAGGTTCACCTTAATTTCTTTTAATACATTGTCATTTGCAAAGTATTTAAGAATTAAATTTTACTTTTACAAGTTCCAAATAAAACTCACAAAAAGTAGATATAAAATTTTAAATAGCATTACAAATTATAGTATAAAATAGAATAATCTA